GGGGGTGACGGTCGTGAGGGTGAGGGGGGACGGTCGTGAGGGTGAGGGGGGACGGTCGTGAGGGTGAGGGGGGACGGTCGTGAGGGTGAGGGGGGGGACGGTCGTGAGGGTGAGGGGGGGGGACGGTCGTGAGGGTGAGGGGGGGACGGTCGTGAGGGTGAGGTGAGGTCGTGAGGGTGGGGGGGGACGGTCGTGAGGGTGAGGGGGGGTCGTGAGGGTGAGGGGACGGTGACGGTCGTGAGGGTGAGGGGGGGACGGTCGTGACGGTCGTGAGGGTGAGGGGGTCGGTCGTGAGGGTGAGGGGGGACGGTCGTGAGGGTGAGGGTGAGGGGGACGGTCGTGAGGGTGAGGGGGGGTGACGGTCGTGAGGGTGAGGGGGTCGTACGGTCGTGAGGGTGAGGGTGAGGGGTGACGGTCGTGAGGGTGAGGGGGGTGAGGGGACGGTGAGGGTGAGGGGGGGGACGGTCGTGAGGGTGAGGGTGAGGGGGACGGTCGTGAGGGTGAGGGGGGGACGGTCGTGAGGGTGAGGGGAGGGACGGTCGTGAGGGTGAGGGGGGGAGGGTGAGGGACGGTCGTGAGGGTGAGGGGGGTCGTGGTCGTGAGGGTGAGGGGGGACGGTCGTGAGGGTGAGGGGGGGGGACGGTCGTGACGGTCGTGAGGGTGAGGGGGGACGGTCGTGAGGGTGAGGAGGGGACGGTCGTGAGGGTGAGGGGGGGGGCGGTCGTGAGGGTGAGGGGGGGGACGGTCGTGAGGGTGAGGGGGGGGTCGCGGTCGTGAGGGTGAGGGGGGACGGTCGTGAGGGTGAGGGGGACGGTCGTGAGGGTGAGGGGACGGTCGTGAGGGTGAGGGGGGGACGGTCGTGAGGGTGACGGGACGGTCGTGAGGGTGAGGGGGGACGGTCGTGAGGGTGAGGGGACGGTCGTGAGGGTGAGGGGGGGACGGTCGTGAGGGTGAGGGGACGGTCGTGAGGGTGAGGGGGGGACGGTCGTGAGGGTGAGGGGGGGGACGGTCGTGAGGGTGAGGGGGGACGGTCGTGAGGGTGAGGGGGGACGGTCGTGAGGGTGAGGGGGGACGGTCGTGAGGGTGAGGGGGGACGGTCGTGAGGGTGAGGGAGGAAGGTCGTGAGGGTGAGGGGGGACGGTCGTGAGGGTGAGGGGGGGACGGTCGTGAGGGTGAGGGGGGACGGTCGTGAGGGTGAGGGGGGACGGTCGTGAGGGTGAGGGAGGGGGGGACGGTCGTGAGGGTGAGGGGGGACGGTCGTGAGGGTGAGGGAGGACGGTCGTGAGGGTGAGGGGACGGTCGTGAGGGTGTGGGGGGACGGTCGTGAGGGTGAGGGACGGTCGTGAGGGTGAGGGGGGGTCGTGACGGTCGTGGGTGAGGGGGAGGTCGTGAGGGTGAGGGGACGGTCGCGAGGGTGAGGGTGAGGGACGGTCGTGAGGGTGAGGGGTGAGGGACGGTCGTGAGGGTGAGGGACGGTCGTGAGGGTGAGGGACGGTCGTGAGGGTGAGGGGACGGTCGTGAGGGTGAGGGGAGGACGGTCGTGAGGGTGAGGGGAGGACGGTCGTGAGGGTGAGGGACGGTCGTGAGGGTGAGGGGACGGTCGTGAGGGTGAGGGGAGGACGGTCGTGAGGGTGAGGGGGCGGTCGTGAGGGTGAGGGGAGGACGGTCGTGAGGGTGAGGGGTGACGGTCGTGAGGGTGAGGGGAGAAGGTCGTGAGGGTGAGGGGAGACGGTCGTGAGAGTGAGGGGGGACGGACGTGAGGGTGAGGGACGGTCGTGAGGGTGAGGAGGGGACGGACGTGAGGGTGAGGAGACGGTCGTGAGGGTGAGGGGGGGGGCGGTCGTGAGGGTGAGGGGGGGACGGTCGTGAGTGTGAGGGGGGGGGTCGTGAGGGTGAGGGGGAACGGTCGTTCGGGTGAGGGGACGGTCGTGAGGGTGACGGGACGGTCGTGAGGGTGAGGGGGGGACGGTCGTGAGGGTGACGGGACGGTCATGAGGGTGAGGGGGGGACGGTCGTGAGGGTGAGGGAGAACGGTTGTGAGTGTGGGGTGGGTCGGTCGTGAGGGTGTGAGGGCACGGTCGTGAGGGTGAGGCAGGGACGGTCGTGAGGGTGAAGGGACGGTCGTGAGGATGAGGGGGACGGTCGTGAGGGTGAGGGAGAACGGTCGTGAGGGTGAGGGGGGACGGTCGTGAGGGTGAGAGGGAACAGTTGTGAGGGTGAGGGGGGACGGTCTTGAGGGTGAGGGGGACGGTCGTGAGTGTGAGGGGACGGTCGTGAGGGTGAGGGGGGGACGGTTGTGAGTGTGAGGGGGGGACGGTCGTGAGGGTGTGTTACGGACCCGAGCCCAGCGTCGTAACACGGAGCTGTGACGACCACGCCATCTGTGAGTTGGCTCCCGAAACCCCCTCCAAATGGACGGCGCCATCTAGTGAGGACAGGATATACCGGCCACAGGGGCTGGTTTCCCGTCTTGATCAGCTCATAACGTAGCCGCTGCTGACCTCTGGTGAGGTGACGCTTAGACAGCATCACCATCTATTGAGTGGATAGGTGGGCGTTTGTGTCTAAGCCTGTAAGTGAGGTGCCCTAGGGTGTCCCTAGTACTGATGACGTGTCTGATTACAGAGTCGACCTGGGACTGCTGGATTGGACGATGGGCAGTCTACCCAAGGCAGCCTTAGTCTCTCCACGTGTTTGCTGAAGAAGCTGAGTTGCTCCCGGACGAACACTGCTGAGAGTGTTAGCCTGCCTGTGACGTGGCAGAGTTGAGGAATCGTCGTACCCGGGGGCTGACTGGTGGAAGAGACTAGCCACTGTGGTGCTATATAGAGGAGAGTGATCAGCGGGAGCACACGAGGCTCCTGCCTAGGGCTCGCAACCCTAGTATCGGTCGTGGAGTGGCCTACACAGCGGAGCTGATTGGAACCTGCCAGCTACAGGCTGGATTTGTGGTTAAAGGCCTCCACGATGGTGCACCCAGTGGGACTGTGATTTGGCTGGCCTGTGGCCAGGGTAGATTCGCCAGAGAATCAAAGGATTCATCGTGAGGCCACGAGAAGAGAACCAGGGCTACTCGTCTTGAGCACCGTAGAGCATCCTGTTGTCTTCAGAGGAAGACAAGTTATTGTACATAAGTGTAGTTATAGACCCAGCGAGTGACATTTTTATCCCTTCCCCTTTAATTTACTTGCGTTACGGATCACACCCCTTGAAAGCCACTACTAACTTGGGGCCGGATACCCCAAACTCTAATAACATCAGAGAAGAACCCCACTTGCGACCCAATAGGGCCGTAACAGTGTGAGGGGGGACGGTCGTGAGGGTGAGGGGGAACGGTCGTGAGGGTGAGGGGAGGACGGTCGTGAGGGTGAGGGGGGGGACGGTCGTGAGAGTGAGGGGGGGGGACGGTCGTGAGGGTGAGGGGGGGGGGACGGTCGTGAGGGTGAGGGGGGGGACGGTCGTGAGAGTGAGGGGGGGGGACGGTCGTGAGGGTGAGGGGGGGGACGGTCGTGAGGGTGAAGGGACGGTCGTAACATATCCCACAAGGGCAACAAAATTCCCCAAAGGACGACAAAAACTCCCGGAAGGGAAACAAAACTCTAACAAAGACAACAAAAAGTAATAATGTTGTTTTTCCAGTTTTAATCCACTTATCAATTGATATTAGTCATGTTAAAGAAATATAACCCGCAAGATTTAAGAGGTTTATGCAGTATGACACATTGTGGTTCAGTGCGATAGTAGGATACAGAGCACTCACCTAGTTGTACTCACATAGTTTTGCGTGCGGGGGTTGAGCTTTGGCACTTTGGTCCCGCCTCTCAACCGTCAATCAACTGGTGAACAGATTCTTGAGCTTCTCGATCTCTATCATATCTACATTTGAAACTGTGTATGGAGTCAGCCTCCACCACATCACTGCCTAATACATTCCATCTACTAACTACTCTGACACTGAAAAATATCTTTCTAATGTCTCTGCTTGTGGCTCTTTTGGGCAGTCAGCTTCCACCTGTGTCACCTTGTGTGTCAACCACCTGTGTTAAATACGTATGGCACAGTGTCGGCTGCAGTGTCATACTATGCTACAGTAATAGTAAGATACAGTGTGGTACAGTGTGAAGCAGTTGGTCTGTGTCGCAAACATAATAAAGTGCTATAATATGTCTTCTTGCGTTACAAAATGTTATAAAGCATTGCAATATGAACTACAAAGTTACAAAATGTTCTGCAGCGCTACAAAATATCATTGTAAAGAATTAAGCATATATTACCCCAACAGTACTGACTAAATATTGATAAGACCTAGATAATACCTAGTTGGTATTATCCAACATCATGTGGTATTACCTCATAAGGCATTACACTCTTCTACCCAACATAATGAACCATTACCATACATTACTACTTAGTAAATGTCTTTCAGTCTTCTCTACTACCGGAACATAGAAGGAAATTACAATTACGTAGGCCTAAAAATATTAATTTAGCAAGAACTCGATTTCTTAACTAATTATGGGAAGATTAATTAAGAAACAATAAATGTAATTGGATATAATTTTATTTTGCTGTACAAATTTTTTTTACTTAATGACATGACTAATTATTTTGAGGTGTTTCTGAATGTACTTGATACAAAATACAAGTGTATTTGTTGAGGGAATTCTGTAGTTTGTGTGTTTGTAATTAGTTAGGTAAGTTGAGATTAACGCAGCTTGAAGGCATCAAGTGACTTAAAGTTGTCTCGTATAATTATATGAAGTTATGCAATGTTGAAGTTATTCAAACGTATGCACAACTTAGTTTCGTGTTCTGCATTGTATTATTCAACGTCGTGAATGTGCTTAAAACACAGAGGGAAAGGATGAGTGAGGGTATATGTGCAGTGGGTGACTGAGGGGAAGTGAGCTGCTATGGAGTGGGTGAGTGAGGGTTGGTGGGTGATTGTGGAGCTGGGAAGGTGTGAGTGGAACAAGTGTCAGATTAGCCTGCTGTTGATTATGGGTGGTCTAGTTGGTGGTCTAGTTGGTGGCCTAGTTGGTGGTCTAGTTGGTGGCCTAGTTGGTGGTCTAGTTGGTGGCCTAGTTGGTGGTCTAGTTGGTGGCCTAGTTGGTGGCCTAGTTGGTGGCCTAGTTGGTGGCCTAGTTGGTGGTCTAGTTGGTGGTCTAGTTGGTGGCCTAGTTGGTGGCCTAGTTGGTGGCCTAGTTGGTGGCCTAGTTGGTGGTCTAGTTGGTGGTCTAGTTGGTGGCCTAGTTGGTGGTCTAGTTGGTGGCCTAGTTGGTGGTCTAGTTGGTGGTCTAGTTGGTGGCCTAGTTGGTGGTCTAGTTGGTGGTCTAGTTGGTGGCCTAGTTGGTGGCCTAGTTGGTGGCCTAGTTGGTGGTCTAGTTGGTGGTCTAGTTGGTGGCCTAGTTGGTGGCCTAGTTGGTGGCCTAGTTGGTGGTCTAGTTGGTGGCCTAGTTGGTGGTCTAGTTGGTGGTCTAGTGGTGGCCTAGTTGGTGGTCTAGTTGGTGGTCTAGTTGGTGGCCTAGTTGGTGGCCTAGTTGGTGGCCTAGTTGGTGGCCTAGTTGGTGGTCTAGTTGGTGGTCTAGTGGTGGCCTAGTTGGTGGTCTAGTTGGTGGTCTAGTTGGTGGCCTAGTTGGTGGTCTAGTTGGTGGCCTAGTTGGTGGCCTAGTTGGTGGTCTAGTTGGTGGCCTAGTTGGTGGCCTAGTTGGTGGCCTAGTTGGTGGTCTAGTTGGTGGCCTAGTTGGTGGTCTAGTTGGTGGTCTAGTTGGTGGTCTAGTTGGTGGTCTAGTTGGTGGCTAGTTGGTGGCCTAGTGGTGGCCTAGTTGGTGGTCTAGTTGGTGGTCTAGTTGGTGGTCTAGTTGGTGGCCTAGTTGGTGGTCTAGTTGGTGGTCTAGTTGGTGGCCTAGTTGGTGGCCTAGTTGGTGGCCTAGTTGGTGGCCTAGTTGGTGGCCTAGTTGGTGGTCTAGTTGGTGGCCTAGTTGGTGGCCTAGTTGGTGGCCTAGTTGGTGGCCTAGTTGGTGGTCTAGTTGGTGGTCTAGTTGGTGGCCTAGTTGGTGGCCTAGTTGGTGGCCTAGTTGGTGGCCTAGTTGGTGGTCTAGTTGGTGGTCTAGTTGGTGGCCTAGTTGGTGGTCTAGTTGGTGGTCTAGTTGGTGGCCTAGTTGGTGGTCTAGTTGGTGGCCTAGTTGGTGGCCTAGTTGGTGGTCTAGTTGGTGGCCTAGTTGGTGGCCTAGTTGGTGGTCTAGTTGGTGGTCTAGTTGGTGGCCTAGTTGGTGGCCTAGTTGGTGGCCTAGTTGGTGGTCTAGTTGGTGGCCTAGTTGGTGGTCTAGTTGGTGGTCTAGTTGGTGGCCTAGTTGGTGGTCTAGTTGGTGGTCTAGTTGGTGGCCTAGTTGGTGGCCTAGTTGGTGGCCTAGTTGGTGGCCTAGTTGGTGGTCTAGTTGGTGGTCTAGTTGGTGGCCTAGTTGGTGGTCTAGTTGGTGGTCTAGTTGGTGGCCTAGTTGGTGGTCTAGTTGGTGGCCTAGTTGGTGGCCTAGTTGGTGGTCTAGTGGGTGGCCTAGTTGGTGGCCTAGTTGGTGGTCTAGTTGGTGGTCTAGTTGGTGGCCTAGTTGGTGGTCTAGTTGGTGGTCTAGTGGTGGCCTAGTTGGTGGTCTAGTTGGTGGCCTAGTTGATGGCCTAGTTGGTGGCCTAGTTGGTGGTCTAGTTGGTGGTCTAGTTGGTGGCCTAGTTGGTGGCCTAGTTGGTGGCCTAGTTGGTGGCCTAGTTGGTGGTCTAGTTGATGGTCTAGTTGGTGGCCTAGTTGGTAGTCTAGTTGGTGGTCTAGTTGGTGGCCTAGTTGGTGGTCTAGTTGGTGGCCTAGTTGGTGGCCTAGTTGGTGGTCTAGTTGGTGGCCTAGTTGGTGGCCTAGTTGGTGGCCTAGTTGGTGGCCTAGTTGGTGGCCTAGTTGGTGGCCTAGTTGTTTGGCAGAGGCGTTGGTGTCAGTGTGTGTGTATGTCATCTAATAGCCTCATACATTCGCCTAGTAACTCACGCACACATTTGGCCGCAGGATCGAACAGTTAGCTCCTGGACCCCGCCTCTCTAGCCAAGTACTAACTAACATGGTCTAGTGTACTAACTACCGACCTATTTTTCTTCTATCGTATCTGCTACATCTCTCTCTCTCTCTCTCTCTCTCTCTCTCTCTCTCTCTCTCTCTCTCTCTCTCTCTCTCTCTCTCTCTCTCTCTCTCTCTCTCTCTCTCCCGGAGTGGCTGTCTTACTGGCTGTTACTATCAGGTACCGTCATCATCATCAGAGACATCAAGTGAAAAAACTGTCTGTTTCTTTCTCTCTTTCTTTCCTTCTTTCCTTCTTTCTTTCGTTCTTTCTTTCTTTCTTTCTTTCTTTCTTTCTTTTTTTCTTTCTTTCTTTCTTTCTTTCTTTCTTTCTTTCTTTCTTTCTTTCTTTCTTTCTTTCTTTCTTTCTTTCTTTCTTTCTTTCTTTCTTTCTTTCTTTCTTTTTTCTTTCCTTTCTTTCTTTCTTTCTCTCTTTCATTCTTTCTCTCTTTCTCTCTTTCTTTCTCCCTTTCTTTCTTTCTTTCTTCTTTCTTTCTTTCTTTCTTTCTTTCTTCTTTCTTCTTTCTTTCTTCTTTCTTTCTTCTTCTTTCTTTCTTTCTTTCTTTCTTTCTTCTTTCTTTCTTTCTTTCTTTCTTTTCTTTCTTTCTTTTCTTTCTTTCTTTCTTTCTTTCTTTCTTTCTTTCCTGACCGGAAATCGAACCCGGGCCCTGTGGATTACAACTCCAAAGCACTATCCGCTCGGTTGCGAGGATCTCTAACTAGGCACTGGCTGTGTGTGTGTGTGTCTATACTCACGTAGTTGTATTCACCTAGTTGGGCTTGCTGGTCCCAACTCAGCTTCGGCTCTTTGATCCCACCTCTCAATTGTCAGTAAACTGGTGTACAGATTCATTAACATACTGGGCTCTATCTTATCAATATCTTGTAACACTGTAAAAGTGTTTGGGTTAGTTTATTTAAAATATATATAGAGTACACGAGTCACAGACAAGGATCTGAGAGGCGCCAGTTGTCTGCCTGAGATCTCACACCTCTAACCGTTAATGACCCCAAGTGACCTGAGGTCAGATCATGATAATTTCACCTTGCTTCCGCTAAGCGTATAATTGGAGCCGGGTAGCCTTCAAACATGCCGACGTTTAAGGAGTGGCTTAATTGGTAGTGCCGGAGGCTATCTACTTGTGGGCGGAGGT